CCATCTCTCCGGCCCCTATGAGCACATCTTGACAGTTTTTCATACTCCTAATTTCTCTTACTCATAGATGTCATCATCATTCCCTGTTCCTTATGACATAGCTCATATTTGAGAATATACAGCTCTTCCCCAAAGCCTCATTGTTAGATTGCTAGGAAATAGTAGTTACTTAATCTGTAATAGTTCTGTGTGGTTGATAATAAGGAGGAATAAGAAATATGTGCTATGGTAAGAACAAAGATAAGAGTTGATGATTTCGTTAAATCTGATAGAAACCATCATTTGCCTGTATTTTTGATGCAAAATTTGATGTGGATACCAGGCAATTAGATGGCAGATTTTGGGTCTGACCTTTTCATGGTCAAAGTGTGTACTGAATTTCACCATCTGGTCCATAATTAGGGTGTTCAGGGGAAAGTGCTGATGATTCCCTGTAGAGTGTGGCTGTTCTGCATAGTGACTGAGAAGGTACGAATGCTGCTTTCTATCCATTTCCTCCATTGGCCGCTTCTGAAGGAGACAGCCTGAGTAGGAAGAGAGGATTTGAATGTGATGTTATGTTGTAGCCTGTGTTCTGCCTGTGTATTTTGGCTGAGCATCTGACTGCTTTGTTTCACCACAATAGAAAAGTAGCATATTTGTTGACACAAAACACTATTACATTAAAAGCTATCAGAAAAAAAATTCTTTGTATTTATTTTTTGAAGATGATATTTGTCATGTACAACACATAATCCAAGTTAATGATTACATTTCTTGACCTTTTATTTCTAAGTAGAGCCACTCCAGAATTGCACTTTAGTGCCTTGTGCCCGCCACACAGAGCGGCATCCACGCACAGCCTTGCGTTTCTTTACCTGTGCCGCTGCCTGTTACTTGCCTGTCCACCACAGTCTGACAGTCTTCTTAGCCACTTGGAGGGAAGCTGACTGATTCCAAAATAAACAATATCACGGCACTTAACAGCTCTCATAAGCAATGGGATATAATGTGCTCTAACACACTTTTACATGTCTAGTAGAAAACTCATGATACTCAAAATATAGCCACTTTCAAGTCAAGAATAAATTTTGGGGACATTTATATTAGGATTTTTTTTCCCTCTGGCCTGCCCAATATAAACATAGTTTAATAGAATATCAAGAATCTTTCACTCTATATCCCCAGACTTCTATATTTCCCATGAGTTTGACTTCACAGAATAATTTTTAAAACTTACATTGCAGCAATGACTTGATGGAAAATCATACTTTATAATATTTCCCCTCTATATTAGTATACTTTTACTCAAATATCTTCATTTCCCTGACATATTTCAGCTATTCATTTCTGTCATAGCTCATTGCTGCGCACTCAAACTGAGTTCCTATGAAGTCGGTGGAACTGAAGTGCACTGTAGCTGAGGAGGATAGCGGAGGGCTGTGGCCACCTTTCTTGTGTCCAGCGTGCTGAGAGATGAAGAGCGGATGACTGTCTTCTCAGCCACAGAGCTACTGCCCATCCCCATCTGGTCCTGGAGGGCAGTAGTTCTGGCATCAGATCAAGAACCTTTTATCAAGGTGCCCACCCAGGAGCCATGTGGAGGGTCCCATGTTGCCGTGAACTATGTGAACATTGTAAATGGCAGCCAAGCTTGGTTCACTGAGCTGCCTTCAGCTAATACTCCCAGGGCACCTGCCAGAGGTGGTGCTTCACTCTGCTATGCTTCCCTTTTGTTTTTGTAAAAGATACAAGAGCCTGTCCTTCCCTTAGGGGTGGATTTCATAACTGTGGCTTCTTGGAAGTAAAGAACCGTATAAAAACCAGACCATCCATTGCGTTTTAATCCCATTTTGAAAACATTTATAAAAAAAGAAAGTTATAGTAGCAGCTGTTACCTTTAGAGCAGAAATGCCAAATCTTTGTTCAAAACTTAGTGCAGCTGGAGAACAGTAAAAGTCTTTGAAACTTCAAATATTTTGCACAAGTTACACTGTATTCCCGAGATCTTGGCCTCTTCCTGAAACATAGTTGGGGAGACAGCACAGCAGCATAAGAGCCTGCCTGGCAAGTACAAGGTCCCAAGTTTGATCCCCAGTACCATTTTAAAAACAAGAGGAAGATAGTAATATTTCTTCACCATGTATCCTAGAAGTGGCCATAAGAAAAAGTATTTGGAAGGCTGACGGTATTTTCTTTGCAGCTCACAGATTATGTCTGGGCAGTTTTGTCAGCAAAACTCTCCCTCAGCAAAAGTCATGTCACTTAGGTAACACTGTACATCAGTTGTTCACTCTCCGCTCTCCTGTCCCAGCTTGCTGATCATGGTATAACTCTCAGTTTGCTTTGTCAGAGCCTACCTTGTGTCCCAAAGAGCAGGGCACTGTCGTGTAGAGCGTTGGAATTGAGAAATAAAATGCCATGCCCACTTCCATAACTGAGGCAACCAGGGGACCAAGGGGTCAGTGATGGCTTTTGCAAAGACATCTCAGACAACTATATCCTGAGCCTTTGGAGTAAACACCACCCGCCATCCCACGTCCACTTTCTGTGGCCAACTCAGGGAAGCAGCAAAAGCTACAGATTCAGCGCCAGATGCAGTGCACTGGTGATATGGTCCTCCACGCCTCTATGACAACCCATAATGCATGGAGTCTAGAAAGGTTCGTGCTTGTAAGTGGAGATAAAACCCTTGGCAAATTGTGAAAGAAAAAGAAGTCGGCCTCCCAGGCCGCTCCCTCGGCTAATGTGTGTGATGACCTTGCTCTTGAAGTGACAGAAGTTCAGTAGAAAGCTTGGAGTAATGATCCCTTGCCGGGAGGTCTGCATTTAAAAATTTATTTCCTAGTAGTTGGGCGTGATGGTAGTCACACCAGGGAAGCTCAGACAGGAAGATTGCAAGTTTAAGCCCATCCTGAGCACCGTAGCAAGACTTTATCTCAAAACAAAAAATAAAAAAAGCACTAGGGCTATCGGTAAATGCAGAGGTGCTAGGTTCAATCCTTAACACCAGAAATGAAGAATTTTATATTCTTTTGGGGGGATTGAAGGGAGAAGGGAAAGCTACCTTTTGCTGCCTGCCCTCCCTCCTCCTGTGCTGTTAGGACAGAGCCTGGAAATGTACATGTGCATGCCCTTGTGTGCTTGCCTGTGCACACACATTCACACATACACATATACACACAGAATCTCTCATGACTTGCAGAGGCCTTGGTGTTGTGGTGAATTTGGTAGGGGCCCAGGTTCCCCCTGAGGTGTAGAGAATGGTTCTGTCCTCCTCTTCCACGTATCAGTTGTCAGAAATCCCTACAATGTCACTTCCCCTCTGCTGAGCTTGTCCCTAGCTATAGTGTTTCCCAACCTCCAACTCCTGGTGTGCACCACCACACGCTGAATCCCTGAGACACCATGTCAGATCCGAGAAAAGATGATGTTCCTCTTTGGAAAATAGTTATTAAACATGACATACTGGCTCAGGCAGCAGAGCAAGAACTGGGTGGCTAACTCATGGCATTTGTAGGTCAAAAAGCACTTCTTGACGTTAATGTGTTCTTATAACTAAAGCCACCAAATTGCTTCTCTCCCTTGTCTCTTTTAAATGGGTCAGCTTGTTCCATGTTTCAGGGAAAGTCTACATTTAAAGTAATTTGGAAATGGACAGTGAGTTGAAAAATCTTTAGCAATGCTTCTATCTAGAAATTCTTCCAGGAGTTTCTCTTTTGGCTCCTGGCATCAGACACAAGTGGTTCCATGTGCCTTTGTGATCCACATGGTTCTTGCTATAGGTGACCAGCTACAGAGAAGAAAATTAAGATGCTCTAAAAGGCCACAGTAACTTCATAGCAGGTCAAGATAGTCACACTCCAGCTAGATTGAAATCAGTGGCCTGAAGCCAGTTGCCCCCTCTGTCATTCATCATCACACCTAACTAGGAGACCCCTGCCTGGGAGCCCCCACACACACACTTCTTGAGAGATGGGTGCTTATTGGTCAAGGAAATGGTTTCATTGCATTATCATGGAATTTCCATCTTCTTGCATTCTGTGTTCGAATTTTCTCTTGGAGGAATTACTCTAAAAATTCATGATAGCAGATGAGCAGAGTGGTGATAAAAGTGGGTTCTGAGAATCATGAGTTCAGATTCTGGGCCTACCACTTACCCCATCAACGTGATTCACCTGCAGTCCAGGGCTGATAAGCCGGGTTAGTAATGACTCCCACCTCACAGGAGGATCTGGAGTATTCAGTGGGCCAGTCCATGTCTGTCGCTAATGTCTTTTACCATCTAGTAAGTATTCAGTAAATGCTGGCTGTAATTGAGATCTAATTGTTTTATTACTGTTGTTTCAAAAATATATCTTATACTTTCTAAAGCTCCAGGTTAGTGCAAACAAGAAGGATTATTTGGAGATTTCTTCCTCTTCACGCTCAAGGGAGCCCATTTTGAGTAGTTTTTTATACCTCTTCCTCAAGACCCTTCCATCAGAGCTGAGTGATTATTAATCAAATAGAGTTCCAGGAAAATACTTGGGCTTATTTTAGTTGCAATTTGAAGAGCTTATAAGATGGCTCAAATTCAAAGGGAAATAAATTTGAATGAATTTCAGCTTTTGCAGCTCTATGCACAGCAGTCTGTGAGAAAAAAAGTTCATCAGATGATCAAGACTTTAGAAAGAAGTCTTAGTTTACACTGAATTTTTTTTTAAAGTTAGGCTATGTAATCTGTCCTTGCTTTCACTTGTTCTTATAAATTGGAAGGAACTTCAAAGCCAGGCAGCATTTTCAACTGGTTTTGCTCTTATTTCTTGGAATGATGTACCCAAAGAAATGGTCTTTTGTTAAAAGAAAGGCTTAGCATTTCTCTTTCAGAGGAAACCATCATTTTTCTAAATAAACTCCACTGGTTTGATGCTCTTTTTCTTTACATGAAACACATTTTCTCCCTCCTGCCCGAGCAACGTATTTGCAGCGGAGTGATGTTGGTTTCTCTTTGTTCTCTCCATCTGATGTGCCTTTGATAGCGGATGGTTTCTCGCTCTTTGGGAGCAAATCCGGATGACCTGAAGGACCCAATTAAGATTAGTATTCCACGCTATGTGCTCTGCGGGCAAGGCAAGGATGCGCACTTCGAGTTCGAGGTCAAGGTACGTGCCCCTTTGCTTTTCTGCAGGACCGCTGTCAGAGGCATGGAGTGCATCCTCTGTCACTTTGTAAAGGAAACTAAAGCTACCTGTGAGTGCTTTGTAAGATGTTGTTGCACCCTCTTTTTTTCCCACATCAATCTGAAAATTTACTTGAAATTCACAAATTCCCAGAAAGCATTAAAGAGTCCTGAGGAAAAAATTTATCTCCACAGTACGTTGGCTATTAACAGAATTACACCCATAGCTTCATCATTTTCTACAATTTTATGGCAATCCTCACTGGTGAACTTTATAAGCATTCAAAACCATGCTAATAGTGAATCATGTAAACTTCAGAGAAGAGGAAAGGTGGGAAAATCAATACATTTTATGAGAAGAGCCAAGTGATGGTATCTATAGCCAATAATGCCATTACAAGAGCTAAAGTTTGCAAGCCGCTTTTCTTCTTGAGGAAAACTCATGTATTCTATTCATAATTGTGGTATATATTGTAGGGAGCCTATATCATAATCATATTTGCTTTTTGAATCATAATTCAGTGTACCAATTTCTCAACAAATAGAAATAGGCTTAGGGAGTGAAGAAAATATAGTAAAGTTGAATAAATTTCCATAATGTAGAAATAAACAATACCCCAAACAATTCATTCTGAGTTCTGAGGAGGAAAACTGTTCCATAAATGGTATTTACAGAATCCTAAAGCAGACATCGTATTTTGTAGTTCAGGGTTCAAAGCAGGAATGAGGCAAGAATGCTCCGTGTGACCACTTCTGCCAGATGGGGTGCTGGAGGCCTGGCCAAAGCACTACGGTCAGGAAAAGAGAGAAGAGCAAATCAGGATGGGAAAGGAAGGACTATAGCTGGCATTTTCTTTTTCGTAATTTGTGTCTGTGTGTAATGCACAATAGTTGCATTTGTTTTGAGAAATCAGTGCATGAATCTATTATATCTTAATCCACTTTTAGTGATTAACCTCCTTCCTAAGCCCCACTTTCCCCTGACTCCTTACCCCACCTCCACAAACTCTGCCTTTTTGCTTCTTACTTTCACTCCATTTTACTCGTTATTTGTATTTAGGCTTCTCATAGAAGAAAAGTGTGATACTAACTTTCTGTATCTGTGTTGTTTCACTTAACATTATGATCTCAGGTTCTATCCAATTTCTTGCAAATGATGTGATTTCATTCTTTATGGTTGAATAATATTCCATTGTGTATATGAACCACATTTTCTTTATTCTCTCATTTGATGATGGACATCTAGGCTATTCCCAGAACTTGGCCATTGTGATTTATGTTGCTATTATATATCACGCGTATCAATATATCACTGTAGTATGATCTCTTCAACTCTTTCAGGAATACCAGCAAGACAGGTATTTCTGGGCCAAATGGAATTTCTATTTAAAATTGTAACAACTTTCTTCACAGAACCAGAAAAAAGAAATCTTTAAACTTATATAAAACCAGAAGAGATGCAGAATAGCCAATACAGTCTCGAGGGCGGGAAAAATGATGGCAATACTTGGATTTCAAGTTATATTGCAAAGCTATAGTAACAAAAACAGCATGGTACTAGCACAATAATAGGCTTATAGACCGATAGACTTGAAGGCACGGAAAGAACCCCATGATGCACCTTTAGTCTCCTGAGTTTCTCCACAGACATATGAAGACAAGATAGCTTTTGAAACTGCTGGACTGCACTTCTTTACACAAGTCTGTGCAACTCTAGTTTGTGGCACATGGAGGGAAGTTATCCCATAGCCAGCAGCATCAGTCTGAGAGTCAGACAGGGAAGCTCCTCCACCGCTCCCCCCCACCCCCGGTAGGTGAGCAGCCTTGCCAGGGTCACTGAGACTTCACTGATTTCATGCCTGCAGTTGCGTATCGTGAAGGAACCCATAGTCCTGGGCAAAGCCCTATATGAGTGCAGGCTCAATTTTTCTCATCTATAAAAATGAGAATGATATTTCTGACTAGGGATTGTCAGTGCATGTAAGGTGCTGTGTCCAGTGACTGATAGATAATAAACAATGAATTGTGGTTAGTGCTGGTATTACTTTTGCTGTTTTCTTTTACTAATTGAAAAATAGTAATTTCCTAATCTGTTTCACTTATTATTTGACTTAGACAACTTTTAGGGAAGAGATGTGCCTATTGCCTTACATCATACTCTCCAAAATAATGATTTCATCTTATTTCTAATGTATTTCCCTTGACTCATAACACTTAATTAAATATTACAGGCTACTATCTCCTCCTCAGTAAATTATACTTTCATTAGTGCTATGGTTTGTGTCTAGTTGTCTTCTCAAAGCCTTATGCAGTCATGGGGCAGGGACTTCTAGAGTTTGAGATTAATTTGTGATCAAGGCTGGGTTTATGGGCCTCAGTACTGCTGAGATTGTAGGTGTGAGTGCTATGCCCAGCCTGGGGCAGATAGCCTGAATGCAGTTTAAGGGAGACAGACTTGCTCTCTGGTGCCATTGTTGCTGCTGCTCCTCCCTTTTGGTCTCTGTTGTTTGCTGCCCCCATGAACTGCTGCCCCCTGCCATGTGCCACTCTGCCTTGGAGCCAGCTATGATGGACTGAACCCTCCAGTAACTGTGAGCTAAATAAACCTTTCCTTCCTTCATTTTGGGTGTTGGGTATTTGTCCCAGCAATGAGAGAAGAGTAACTGAGACAGTTAGGATAGTCAGTAGTGTTAGTGTAATAGTGTCTACTAGGGTCACCAGTAGATGGAGTGTCACGGTGTCTTGGAAGTGTTTTGTTCATATAAACACCAGCTTGGGGATTGGGGCACTGGATTCTCTAGGTTCTGGCTCTGCCATGGTTTGCCAAGTGACTTTTAGTCTTTTAGTTTCTCTTAGCCATAACTTTCTCATTGGTAGAAAGAGGAAATTGGAAACTGTTAGTGGTCTCCAAATTTCATCTTACCTGATCTCTTAGTTATTTTTCTCTTGTGGTTGAGACTAAATACCTGACCCCCAAAGTTAAAGGTAGACAGGTTTATTTAGCTCACAGTCTATAGAGGTTTCAGTCCATAATCAGCTTGCCCCAAGGCAGAGGTGTAGCAGCTCACAGAAGCAGAAAACAGCAAAAGCATGAAATGTGTGTCAAGCCTCTTTCTACCCCTGACATGGTGTGCAGGCAGCCCGCCCTAGGGCAGTGTAGCTTTCACACCCTTAATCCCAGCATTGGACCATGAGTCAATCACAAACTCTAGATTCAATCCTCAAAAGCCTGTCCCCTCCGCCTTGGCTGCATGAGGTTTTGAGAGTGACATCTAGACACAAACCATTACACCTGAGAAGCCCCTTTTCTCCTAAGAGTGTCTTAGGAGAAAAGAGACTGAGAAAGGCCGTAACTCTGGAGCTTAAAGGAGGGGAAGAAGGCAAGAACCTGAACCAGCAATCCCATCTCTCCCAAACTCTGAGGCACCTTGGAGGAGCTCCGAAGCTCGCAGGGATCTCCCCCTTATGTATGCTAATTTTCAGTATTCCTGGAGAAATAAAGAATATCAGGTTTTTAGATTTTAATTACTATATACTGAGTTTTTCGTCTTTTTGAAAAAGTGGCAGTAATTTGTATATTTGAGGTTTTTGTTGAGAGGAACAGTGACTTTGAAGTGGTGATTTTTGTTGTTGTTGTTGTTGTTGTTATTTTAAGATTCGGTGGCTTCTTTATTAAAATGTTGCACCATGTCTTCGGTGTATTACTTCCCACTTCTCTGACCTAGTCATGTCTATTGCTCGGTTGCTTTTCATTTGTTCTTCATCAGTCCAGATGTTGTGTGTCTGTGTAGAGTTCCCTTTGTACATATATGTAATATAACATATATAAAAATAATTTTTACATCTGCCACATTTTTATATTTTCAGATTAGCAGCTAGAAATTCTTTCACCCACTCAGAACTACAATTACCCGAGGAGTGAAACCATATAATGACTTTAGTTGATGCATGGATTTATTTACTTTAACTTATACATCTGTTAATAAAATCTAACCATTAAATTGATTTCATGTATATAACTTGAATGAAGCACTCAATGTTTTGAAACTTAATTGATTTAAATGGAAACTCTAGGCCAGTCAGAGCCTAGGTGGTGGTCTGCAGCCCCAGCCAGATCTGGGAGGATGCTCCTGTCAGAGCAGGTAGAGGAACCAAATACGGCTGGTCTGTGTGGCTTTCCCTTCCAAATACATAAAACCAAGTCCAAAGAGTTCTGCTTCCTTTGATCTTAGCAAAGCCAATAAAAGAAAGCATGTCATTGTTCTGCTTCCTTTTGTGCTTGTCTGTTTGTAACCACCTGCTCAGGAATGGGCTGCTAGCATTAGCCTGGAGGAGGCCTAGTTCTCCCTTCAGGGGTGGTCTCTGCCTTCGGACATACAGCTCGAGGTCTCGAGGTCTCAACACCTGAACGCTCCTGTGGGAGACACAGAGCGAGTGGACTCCCCCTCCCCAAACCACGGGCTGCAGCTCTCAGAACAGTTCTGGGTTCCCAGCCTCCTGTCTCCTCTCCCCAGGTGACCCTTATCAGTCCCATAGCCTTCTGTGTCTCACGTGGAACATGGGGTTAATGAAATCCCCTGGCTGAGAGGGTGAGCAGCGTGTGACCTCATGTACCCACAGGGCCTTGGGCAGTGCCTGCCACATGCTAAGTGCTGGAGTAGTGTTTGTTACTGACATCAAATAAATATAGGAAGGTTTAGGGAATTACCAAGTCTTTACCTTTTATCTCTTCCCACAGTGACTTTTAATGTATAATTAGAGTTTTATGAAGTTTGGGGTTTTGTTTTTTTATGTTTTAGTTTTCGTTCAGTATTCTAACCTAAAGAATTAATATGTAAAAGAAAGCCCACAGAGACTAAATCTATCTGTTGTCTTTATTGGAATAGAGCGGCAGCTGTTTCACACCTGTTGCTGCAATCTTCATAGGCACCCTCCTCTGAGACCCTGAGAACTGTGCGTTGCACTTTGGGGCCTTGTGTGAAA